CACTCCTAGGCATATCCAAAATATTCTCAAGAATACAACAAGGACATTTGTGCAACCATGTTCGTAGCAGCTTTATTCATAATAGCCAGAACCTGGAAACAACCCAGATGTCCCTCAATTGGGGAATGGATACAGAAATTGTGGTACATTTACACAATGGAATACTACTCAGCAATTAAAAACAAGGAAATCATGAAATTTGCAGGCAAATGGTAGGAACTAGAAAAGATCATCCTGAGTGAGGTATCCCAGAAGCAGGAAGACACATAGGGTATATACTCATAAGTGGATATTAGACATATAGGATAACCATACTAAAATCTATACACCTAAAGAAGCTAAGCAAGAAGGACCCTGGGTAAGATGCTCAGTCCTCATTCAGAAAGACAAACAGGATAGACATTGAAGAAGGTGAAAACAAGGAACAAGACAGGAGCCTACCACAGAGGGCCTCTGAAAGACTCTACCCAGCAGGATATTAAAAGTGGATGCTGAGACTCATAGCCAAACTTTGAGCAGAGTGCAGGGAATCTTATGAAAGAAGGGAGAGAAAGACCAAAAGGGGAGCTCCACAAGGAGAACAGAACCAAAAAATCTGGGCCCAGGGGTCTTTTCTGAGACTGATACTCCAACCAAGGACCATTCATAGAGATGACCTAGAACCCCTGCTCAGATGTAGCCCATGGCAGCACTACATCTAGTAATGGTTACAGGGACTGTGTTTGACATGAACTCAAGGGTTGGCTCTTTGATCACCCCTCCCCCAGGGGGGAGCAGCCTTACCAGGCCACAGAGGAAGACAATGTAGCCAGTCCTGATGAGACCTGATAGGTTAGGGTCAGATGGAAGGTTAGGATGACCTCCCCTATCAATGGACAGGAGAAGGGGCAAGGGAAGAGATGAGGGAGGGAGGGTGGGATTGGGAGGGGTCAAGGGTAGGGGCTACAGCTGGGATACAAAGTGAACAAATTGTAATAAAAATTATATTAAAAAATAAAAAAAGAACTAAGGTACAGAGTTAGTGTAAGGCGGTTTGCCAGAGTGGCGGCTCACAGAAAATGCAAATGATTGACACTATCTGAAAAGATGTGCTGGGGGCCTCAGACAGGGTTCAGGCAGCTGATGTTGGCAGCAGGAACAGCTCTGCACTGCTCATTCAGCCAGAGGCAAACCACCACCTGCTGGTGGGGAGCTGGAATAGCTGCAAACCGTTGGGCAAACAGCTCAGCAGAATGTGTCAAAGCGTTTCACACACACCTGCCATCCCAGCTACGTGACACGCTGCCACATCATAGGAGACGAAAGGCTGGAATTCTGGCTTGGTGTTGTGGCACATTCCTGTTCTCCCATCACTCCGAAGTGGACGGTAGGAGGGTCACGGGTTCAAAACTAGGCTGAGGTATGGAGCGGGACTGTCTAAAACGGTGGTTCGCAGCCCTCCTGCAGCTCTTTACTGCATTTCCTCATGTTGTGGTGACCCCAGCCACAAAATTATTCACTGATACAACTGCAATTTTGCTACTGTTATGAATTACAATGTCTTATATGCAGGCTATCTGCTTTGTGATCCCCAAAGAGGTCGTGACCCACCATTTGAGAACCGCTGTTCTGCAAAAGGGCTGGGATGCAGCTGACCCACCTGCGAGAGCATTTGGCCAGGACAGTCCTCTGCTGCTGTGATTCAACCACGTGGTCTGCATTGTGCTTCCGACTTCGTGTTGCCTCTTTGGAAAAAAGAATCGTCAAAAGCCTCAGAAAACTGAATATTCACCAAGGGCATAGTTGGAACCATTCTAGCACATCTGTAAAGAATATTATGCAGGGATTATATGTTATATATAATATATAATATATATATGTTTTTCTGGGGGGATGTCCACAAAATAGTCTGTTAAACTAGAAAAACAACTTATCATTTATATTTTCACCTCAGAAGCAAACACATCCCATGCATACACTTTCTCTTTTTTGTGCACATACACCAGTTACTTCATGTACAATAAGGAAATGGGGACAGGGAAATGAGAGAAGAGAGAAAACTGCACTGTGGTAGCCAGGATGTGATGGAACCAAACTGTGGCTTTCTGACTGAGAATGCATTCTTGGTCTGTAACACAATTCTGGAGCAAGCAGCAGGTTCCTTTTTCAGGAGACACCTCCTGTCTGCTGCTGGGACACTTCGTGTCTTGGTCCTCCCTTTCCAACTGTGCAGGTGTGTCTGTTTCATTGGTTGGTGGCCCATCAACCTGGAATCTGGGCTGCCTTGTTAACAAACCCTGTCGTTCACAATAGGCTTTCCCTAGTTTACTAAGTGGTGTCGCCTATAACCTTAAACTGCTCCACAGAGCCATCCTGCCCCGAACCTTCAAATTAAAATGATTGGTGTTTTCAGTCTTGACTCGTTGGGTTTCTGGTCAGCTGTGGTGAGCACAGGAGTCTCTTCAGCTGCTGCTTCATATAAGAGGCACCAGGTTGGCACTGAAGGAACACAAGAGCAGTACCAGGAGCAGCCATATACGCATTTCTTTACACTGAGTCTTTGAACATATTTGTAGAAGCTTGGAGCCTGATCTCCAGGGGCTCACACACAAGGCTCCAACTGAAGACACTTTTATTGTCACCCTGGAGAATTCTAGAAGGTAGAGTCTCCAAATCCACAATACACAAAGGAGAGCCTCAGCTCCTCCTGCTTCAAGTAATTTCTAGACTCAAAATGTATTTGTGCTGATGTTGAGAAAATTTGGCTTGGAATAGAGGGCAGAAAGAATAAACACCAAATTGCCAGCTTTTCCCTTATATATTTGTGTTATATGATTTATCACAGTGTGCTTCCATTTTGACAGCTGTGGTGGTTTGAATAAGCATGGCCCCCAGAAGCTTGTATATTTGTATATTTGAAGGCTCAGTCATTAGGGAGTGATACAACTAGACAGGGATTAGGAAGTGTGGCCTTGTTGAAAGAAGTGTGTCACAGGAATGGGCTTTGAGGCTTCAGAAGCCCAAACCAGGCCCAGTGCCTCTTCCTGCTGCCTGCAGATCCTGAGGTGGAATTCTCAAGCTACTTCTCCAGCACCTTGTCTGCCTGCATACTATTATGCCTCACTCTTCGATGGAAACACGCTAACCTTCTGAAGGGTTAGCCAGACTGTTAAATGTTTTCCTTCATGAGTGTTGCCTTGGTCATGGTGTCTGTTCCCAGCAATAAAACCCTGAGACATCTAGTCTTAGTTTTCCTGAGTGTTACCAAAAGGAGAAAAGATAGCTGAGCTAGCTGAGGGGGCTGGCTTTTTGTTTCCCCTTAGCAAACTCCTAATGCAGGGATAAATCACTATTAGGTCCATGGGGGAAAATTCTTGAACTAAGGAATGTTTTCCAATTTAATCTTGATGACTGTAGTGGAGGTAAGGAAGTAACAATGGAACCCACACAAAGTGAAGCCCATCTTCAAAGAGAATCAAGAAATTTGGGCCCTCAGAACAGAGCGAGGATATCCACAAGAACCAGGGTAGCTCCTTTGAAGGGAGGTTTTTTGTTTTTTGTTTTTTTAAATAACCTACAAGCTGGATGTGGTGGCACACGCCTGTAATCCCAGCATTCAGGGAGGCAGAGGTAGGTGGAGTGAGTTCGAGGCCAGCCTGTTCTACAAAGTGAGTCCAGGACAGCCAGGACTACACAGAGAAACCCTGTCTCAAAAAGAAACAAAAAAAAAAGGAAGAAAGGAAGGAAGGAAGGAAAGAAGAAAGAAAGAAAGAAAGAAAGAAAGAAAGAGAGGAAGAAAGAAAGAAAGAAAGAAAGA